CCCCCCCCCCCCCACACACACACACCCTGGTCAGTCTGGAACGGCCACCTCTCACCTCGTCTGAGCCGGGCCGAGACCGGCGGTCGCACCTCCCCGTCAGAGGAAGTCGCCGGGCGGCGTCGAGCGGCGGCGGGGCGCGGGCCACTATCTCTGACGGGGAGCCCCGCGAGATACGAGGATGACCGACGGCGCACCGATGACCGCGGTGTCCTTGAACCGGACGGACGGCGGGGCGATCGCCCGGTCCACCGTGAGCTCACCTTGGAGGGGAGGGGAGGGGGGCAGATGACTCAAGCCGAGCCAAGTCTGGTCCAGCGCAGCATCTTTCAAAACCAAAGCAAGACGACACGCCGGGTGCCGGGGTGTGCCAGGGGGAAGCGCCCGGAAGTCCTCCTGCCTCCCCCGCGGAATGGAGCCCTCCTGATCCTCCCTCTGATCCCGCTCGTAGCCCGCGGCGCGCGCGTGCCCCGGACGCGGCCCACCGGGATTATACAAATGCAAAGCAAAAGGTAGAGAGTAAAAGCTCGTATAGCAAAGCTCAACGACATTCGGGACACGCGGCTGTCATGTGAATAAAAGTCACCTTTCTTCCGGTGCGTGATTGTGAGTGTGTCACGCAAGGCATGTGATGTCGAGTCGAGTTGTTACACACTTGTGTTCCGTTCGTCCGGTAGGGGCAGGGCCCTTGGCACTAATAAGCGGCCAAGCGGCCTGATGGCGCCTGCCGGGTAGGCACTCCCGCGCGGCGCGGCCTGCGTGCGGGACAGTATCCTGTGCTGTGCACGGCGCTCTTGTTGTCGGGGCGGGCGATGGGGAGTGGGGTGAACGATGTTCCTTCCGTTCGAGGACCGGCCGCGCGCAGGACGACAGGACAGAGAGCGAGATAGTTAGAGAGAGAAAGAGCGACGCAAGGTCGCCCGCCTGCATGATCGCCCGCCACGCCCCGCGCCCCGCCGGCGGCACCCAGGACCGGCTCCGGCGTCTGCTGCTCCCTGATCTGATCCAGTTTTCGACATTCGCGCCTCGCCCCGCCCCACTGCGCCGCGCCGTCCCAGTGGCCCACGGCCGCCCCCTGCTGCAGCCTCACATCAGATCAGCTTCATAATCATCCAAAGTCTAACAATCTCTTAAAATTTTAACAGGTAAATTAATTATTTTATCACGATGATCCGCTGGCGGAACAAAAATGCCAAACAGCGAACGAAAACCGTAATACATCTGACAAGAAATGGACGCGAATTCAACTTCATCATTATGATAAAAACACGTCGATTGTTGTTGATTTGGGGTGTTTCGAATGTTGTTGTTTTTTCCACTTTGAGGGGTTTCCTTCGTTTTGGCGAGCGCGGGTCTGCGGGTCCAGCCAGTAGCCAGTGTGGTGTAAAGGTCAGCGCGTTGCGCGCCCGTCCCTCGGGTCCGGGAGCCTCATACGCGCTGCGCCCACAATAACCACATCCTGCTTAGTGCGACAAGGAGGGCGCCAGCAAAGTGTGCCAACGTCGCGCACTTGCGAGTGTGTGCAGGTCAATGTTGGCGCACTTGTATAGGTGTGCGAAACGGTTCCGCATAGACTATCCGAATTTGCACGGAAATACTTCAACAAGTGTGCGAATGAAAATTCACACTTCTAGAAGTACGCACGACGTGAACACACTTGCGTTTTCTATACACTGCGAGAGGCGCCAGAGACTATGGTTGTTCCACTCAGCGACTCAGCAAGTTTTGATCGATTCCGTAGAAACACATCGAGCACAGGCTCGCCAACGCCAGCTTCGCACTACGAAAAGAGTGGCACGGATGCACCACACCCTTTTTCGTGCAGGACACACTTGTATAATTAAAACACGCGGAATGAGAACGAATGGCGTACTGGTCCCGTTCCCCATGGCCGCCTCGGTCGCCACCCCCTGCACAACGGTCTGCATGCTAATGGCTCCTAATGCGCGCGGAAGAGGGGCGCAGGGGGCGGTAAAGGCCCGGCCCATCATGCACTTGCACGAAATGGGAAGAATTTATAGCAAAGCGGTGCATACGTAACTAATAAAATTCATGAAGACTGTAGTATGTATGCGTGCGACGGGGGTGCGGGTGTGACTATACTTCTGGAGATTCGCCAACATAAGCGCCCGAATGCGTACAAACAATCCACTCCCCCCCAAACCGTAGGAGCACTGATTTTGCATCCACAAAGGACGGCGTTCGGATATCCTCCAGCCTCCTCCAGGTGCTCCGGAAGCTCGAGTGTAAGACAGTCGACAGTCGTCTGTCCCTCCAGACTCAAGCAGACACTCCGGCAGCTCGAGTGCTGGACAGTCTGTCCCTCCAGACGCCAGAGACACTCCGGCAGCTCGAGAGCTGGATGCTGGACAGTCTGTCCCTCCAGACGCCAGAGACACCCCGGCAGCTCGAGAGCTGGATGCTGGACAGTCTGTCCC